AATTATTTTTGAGAGAGAGAGAGAGAGCAAGCAGGGAAGGGGCAGAGAGAGGGAGACACACAATCAGAAGCAGGCTCCAGACTGAGTGCTCAGCACAGAGCCCGACGCGGGGCTCGAACTCACAGACCGCGAGATCGTGACCTGAGCTGTAGTTGGCCGCCCAACTGACAAAGCCACCCAGGAGCCCCAAGAGTACAGTTAGTCTTAATTAATGTTCCATGTACACATGAAAACAAAATGCATTCTGCTCTTGTCAAGTAGGATATTATGAGTCGGTCATGTTGTTTGATAGTGTTGTTTTTGTCTTCTATATCCTTACTGATTTTTTTTTTTGTCTGCTCAGTCTATGTCCATTTATTTCTGAAAGAGGATCCTTGAAGTCTCTAAGTATAATTATGGATTTGTCTGTTTCTTTCAGTCATTTTTTGCTGTCTTTATTTTAAAGCTCTTATTCAGTATGTACACATTTAAGATTTTATGTTTTCTTGATGAATTGACATCTTTGTTATTATGAAATGTTGCCTATTCTGTTTGTAATTAATATAGCCACTCTTGCTTGGTATATTTTAACATTTTTTTCAGTTTTAAGTCATCCTGTAATGTGGACTTTTTTTTTTTTAAATGTTTATTATTTATTTTAAGAGAGACAGCAAGAACGTGCATGAGCTGGGGAGGGGCAGAGAGAGAGGGAGAGAGAGAGAATCCCAAGCAGGCTCCAGTGTGGGACTTAATCCCATGACCATGAGATTATGACCTGAGCTGAAATCAAGAGTCAGACACTTACCCGACTGAGCCACCTCGACACCCCTGGAGTGGATTTCTTGTTAGCAGTACATAGTTGGGTCTTGCTTTTTAATCTAGTTTGACAGTCTCATCTTTTAATTGGAATTTTATTTCATTTTTTTTATTATTTTTTTTTTTAATTTTTTTTTCAACGTTTTTTATTTATTTTTGGGACAGAGAGAGACAGAGCATGAACGGGGGAGGGGCAGAGAGAGAGGGAGACACAGAATCGGAAACAGGCTCCAGGCTCCGAGCCATCAGCCCAGAGCCTGATGCGGGGCTCGAACTCACGGACCGCGAGATCGTGACCTGGCTGAAGTCGGACGCTTAACCGACTGCGCCACCCAGGCGCCCCTTAATTGGAATTTTAAATCATTTACACTTAATGTAATTATTTGTAGGGTCAGATTTAAATCTACTCTCTTGCTATTTGTTTTCTACTTGTTACAGTTGTTCTTTGTTCCTTTCTTCGTCTTTTCCTACATCTTTTTGTATTCATCTTACTTTAGGATTGCATTTTATTTCCATTATTGACTTCTTAGCTGTATCTATTATTTTACTTATTAGTCTAGGATTTAATGTGTTTTTAATTTGCTATAATCTATTTTCAAGTGATGTTATATTACCTGAAATATAATAGAAGAATCTCTCAAATATATACTTCCATTTCTCCTCTCCTGTGCTTCTTTTGTTTTGTCATATTTTTTACTTCTACATATACCTGTATATATATATATATATATATATATATATATATATGTATATATATATATATGTATACATATACCTATATATATATATGTATAGGTATATGTATTTTGTTTTTTTGCTTTAAATGATCAGTTATCTTTTAAAAATAACTTGAGAAGTTTTTTTATAAACCCACGTAATTTTTATTTCTAGTGTCTCCATTCTTTTTATGGATTCACATTTCCATCTGGTATCTTTTTCCTTCTGTTTGAAGGACTTCTTTTAATATCTCTTCTAGTGAATAAATTCTCTCAGATTTTGTTTTCCTGAAGAAATATTTCACATTTATTTTTGAAAGTTTTTTTTTCCCCTGCCTTATAGAATTCTAGGTTGACAGGTGTTTTTGTTTTTTTGTTTGCTTTTTTTAGCAGTTTACAGACCTCCATTCAGTTGTTCCCTGGCTTGTATATTTTCTGATTAGAAGTCTGGGGAAAATTCTTATCTTTTTTCCTTTCTATGTAATTTTCCTGTTCCTTCTGGCTGCTTTTAAGATTTTCTCTTACTGACTTTTAGCTATTTAATATGACATGTCCAAACATGGTTTTCTGTTTATCCTGCTTGTGGTTTATTGAATTTCTTGACACCTTGTATAGTTTTCATCAAATTCAGAAACATTTTGGCCATTATGCTTTCCAATATTATTTTTCCCTTTTCCTTCTTACTTTTGGGATTCAGTTATATATGTTATTACTGTGATACTGTCTCACAGGTCATCGAGACTTTGTTCATTTTTTTTTTCCCTAGGCTTTTACTCTACCTTCAGGTTTTACTAATTTTTTTTCCTACTTTCTCTAATTTGTTAATCATATCCTCTAAATTTTTTATTTGAAATAATTTACTTTTTATCTCTAGAATTTTCATTTGGGTTTTTAAAAAAAGACTCTATTTTCTTCATTATGTTTGTGTTTTCCTTGAAATACTTAGATATGTGATCGATTTTTCTTTTTTTAAGTTTATTTATTTTGAGAGAGAGTGAGTGAACAGGGGAGGGTCAGATAGAGAAGGAGAGAGAAGATCCCAAGCCGATTCTGTGCTGCCAACACAGAGCCCAATAGGGGGCTCAAACTCACGAACTGTGAGATCATGACCTGAGCCTAAACCAGGAGTTGGATACTTAACCAACTGAGCCACCCAGGTTCCTTTATGATAGCTTTTTAATGTTTTTAATGTCTATAACCTATCATTTTGGAGGATTTATTGACTGATTTGTTCTTGATTATGAGCACATTTTCTTGCTTCTTGGCAAATCTAATATTTATTGATTGCATGGTGAACATTGTGAATGTTACATTGTTAGGCTTCTGAAATTTTTTTTGTCTTTCTTTCATGAGTATTGGGTTTCATTCTGGTCAGTTAAGTAATTCATGATTAGTTTGATCATTTGAGGCTTACTTTTAGTTTTTTAGGGCAGGTTTAGAGTAGATTTTACTCTGAGAACAGTTTTTCTCACTACTAAGGCATGGTTCTTTTGGGGTTTCTACTGAATGCTTTTGATTGAGCATTGAGTACTCTACTCTAGCTGGTGAGAAATTAAATGAATTGCAGCCCTGTGTGGACTCTGGAACTATTCAGCTTACAGCTCTCTAGTTGGTCCTTGCCTGACCTGGTGGAGTTTCATACCATGTGTGGGCATCTTAGTGTTCAACAGTGCATCAGATTTCTCTGAAAATTTCTGAGCTCTTTCTTAGCATAGTTTCCTTCTCTCTTTCTCTTTCTTTCTCTCTTGTTCCCTAATTTTCCCCTTTCTCTTTGAAATTGTATCCCAGAACTCCTAGGCACTTCTGCATCCTTGAACTCCAATTTGTCTCAACTCTTTAAAAAAAAAAAAATTTTTTTTTTTAACATTTATTTATTTTTGAGACAGAGAGAGACAGAGCATGAATGGGGGAGGGTCAGAGAGAGAGGAAGACACAGAATCCTTAGCAGGGTCCAGGCTCTGAGCTGTCAGCACAGAGCCTGACACGGGGCTCCAACTCGAGCTGTGAGATCATGACCTGAGCCGCAGTCGGACGCGTAACCAACTGAGCTGCCAAGGAGCCCCTCTCCTCACCTCTTTAACTCAGCTAGACCGCTGCTTGGAATTCTGCTCTCTACTCTGTGGTTTGCAGTGTACCTCTAGGCAGAAAGCTGGAGCAATCCTGGGGTTCACCTTGTTAGTTTGCTTTCTCATTGGGATTACCTACCTGTGCTGCCTGAAAACATTAATTTCATACATTTTGTCCAGCTTCTAGCTGTTTAAGGTAAGAGGATAAATTCAGTCTTTGTTCCTACATCATGGCCAGAAGTGTGTAAAATTTTAAAAATATTTTATGAGGGGTGCCTGGGTGACTCAGTCCGTTAAGCATCTGACTCTTGATTTTGACTCGGGTCATGATCTCACAGTTTATGAGTTGGAGCCCTGCATTGGGCTCCGCACTAACAGGGTAGAGCCTGCTTGGGATTCTCTCTCTGCCCCTCCTTCCCTCTCTCTTTCAAAAATAAATAAATATTAAAAGAAAAATATTTTATGACTTACTGCTTGTGCATATTTTACTGTCCTTTTGCCATCAATGCTTTTCTTTTAGAAGATATTCTTGAGTGATTTCATAGGTCAACAGTAGTTATTTTACTTATTATTTTTAAAATTTCTCCAAATGCTTCTCTTTGTCTCTCTTTTTTTAATGCTTATTTATTTTGAGAGGGAGTGAGTGTATGCAAGCATAAGCTGGGGAGAGGGGCAGAGAGAGGAAGAGAGAGAATCCCAAGCAGGCTCCATGCCCAGCACAGAGCCCAATGTGGGGCTTGATCCTATGACCATGAGATCCTGACCTGAGCTGAAACCAACAGTTGGATGCATAACCAACCAAGCCACCAAGGCGCCTTATATCATAAGGCGCCTTATATCATAAGGCCTTATATGATATAAGGCGCCTTATTTTATTTTTCTGAAGTTTATTTATTTATTTTTGTAATCTTAGACCCAACTTGGGGCTCAAACTTACGACCCCAAGATCAAGAATCACAAGTTCTTGTGACTGAGGCTGCCAGGTGCCCCTCAATGATTATTTTATTAGTGAATGAAACTTGTATCAAATACAAACTTCTTGTTTAGTATAGATAGCATTAGCTCCTTTCAGGTTTTATATGGCTGTTTTTAGTCTGAAGAAAGATTTGGGCCCTCTAATACCCTTAAAGTATTGAGGGTTCATGTTATATAGTTGAACAACATTCATGTCAGCGTCAAGTGTCTTTTCTCTTCCTGGTCTGTAATAATTGAGGTTGAAAGGAACAGTTTGGTTCCTAGATTTAAATTGCATTAGAATGTATTGGGTTCTTTGAAGACAAAACCAACATGTAGCTTTTATACTCTAGAATTGTTTCATTCCCTTTTTGGGGTATATTAAGTTTTCAGACTAAATAATGAATGTTAAGTGCTGAAACAAGTAAAAACAAATGATCAACGTTCCCCCGTTCCCCTGTGTTTCTAGGTAACTACTCAATATTGCAGCCATGGAGTCCATGCTTAATAAGTTAAAGAGTACTGTTACGAAAGTAACAGCTGATGTCACTAGTGCTGTAATGGGAAATCCTGTCACTAGAGAATTTGATGTTGGTCGACACATTGCCAGTGGTGGCAATGGGCTAGCTTGGAAGATTTTCAATGGCACAAAAAAGTCAACAAAACAGGTAAGTTTTAATTCAGAGTCCATTGGCAAAAAATGCACATGTTAATAAGTAGTATAATGTGCATATATGTTTTTATGTTAAGAAATGCCAAAAGTAATGGGTTCTTTACTTCTCATTTCCATCTAATGAAGTCATACAAAAATAAACGCTTTTAAACATGCCCTGAATCTCCTGGTTACAAATATATTGTTTGATATATCACCCCATCTTGTAATTTAATTTTGATTACTTAATAAAATAAATGTTTCTGTTGAGTAAAGGAGCATATTAGATTTTTAGCAAAGTATTTGTTTTGTAATAAAAATTGTGTTCCTTTTCAAATTTGTCAGTAAGCTATTGGCAAAATACTCAGTTAAATTTTCCAACATTAAATGCATTCTTATTTAGTGCATTCTTATTCCCCTTTTATTTTATATAAAATAAAAGTCTATTTTCTGGAAAATAGACTTCTGTAACATTCTTTTGTGTTTAACTTGATTTTATTATCAGAAGGGGGTACATTTGTGGAATAGTCGGTAAATGTGTTTTGAGATATACTGATTTCAAAGTTATTTTAAAAGTAACTGTTCTTTTAGCAGAGTCATTTGAATGAGTTGTATTTTTATTTTTTATTTTTTAATTTGACTTAAGAGAGCAACAGATGGTTCTCAGAAATGTGGAGGATTGTTAGTGTTATATTTTACTAACAGTTTTCTGTTGGAATTTTTAAAGGATTGAAAAACCTCCAGGTTTAAAACCTCTGTAGAAATATATTCTTTAAAAATAAAAATTACTGTTTCTAAAAGTACTTTTATTTCTCTACAAGTGAAACATATGGATTGTAAGGCGTTTGGGATTTATTACACATATTTTCCAGTAACTGTCACAGTCATACAGTTGTGGATATACATTATTTGTGACTTTTCCAAAATCAGCTTATTTGCCAAATAAGTATATTAAAGACTCAATTGGCTTTGGTTATCCTTTTATGAAGTAGGAACCTTGGTCTTGTGATAGATTGCTGGTATGTGGTATGTATCTGACTGTAAATCTTGTTTTTATTGCCATTTGGTTGGAAGTCTTTAAGTTCAGAGCTGATCTTATCTTAAATGCTGATTGATTTGTCATTTTTCAACATTGTTTTCTCAGTTCACCAAGCTCACTAAAAAATAAGTGGTTTCTGGAGTATTGAATGCTTAAGCTATTAATGAGGCCACGAAGTTATGTAAATGATCAACCTCCAACACTAGCTTTTATAATCAGTTATATTATTGGCAAATCAAAGAACACCAAATGTACTAAATTTTGCATTATTTATTAAGGATGTAACCTAATAGTGTCTTTGTGCTTAACTGAAAGAGTTTCTAGGTGTTTGTGTTTATATCAGCAGTTCATATGCTGAAATTCTCTGATAATGTTGAAGCTTCTGTTGTTGTTCATAGAACATGAAAACCAGGCACAAATAATAGGTAATTAATTAGATATTGCACAATAATACAGCCATTCTCACTGCTCACTGCCAGAATTGGGTTCTCTTAGGAAACCACTATATCCCCCACCCCCCACACCCAAATTTATTGCTTTGTGGAAAAAGATAGTTTTGGAATGTATTCGTGGTTTTGTGGATGGATCTACATTCTTGGATGTAGTTTTGAATCTTCTTTCTTTGCCTCTTTCAAACCTACGGTGTTTTAAACTGAGTATCCTATCTGGACTACTGGCTAGTTCCTTAAGGAATAGCTACATCTGTAACCACCTTGGAGTTGAAGCCTCATTTTAATTTTTCCCTTACTCAAAGTTTTAATTCTTTTTTAGTTATCTCATTTTTTATTAAAAGGGAATCATAGAAGATAGATAATCTGCAGCTGTGCTATCCAGTATGGTAAGCTACATATGCCTATTACAATTCGTAAAAATTAAATTTGGTTGCAGTAGTCACATTTGGAATGTTCCTTAGCAATATATGGCTAGTACTACCATATTAGACATCGCAGGCATAGAACTTTCTATCATCACAGAAAATTATGTATGACAGTGTTGATCTTAGAGAAGCCAGGAGAAAAATAATGAAAAGGATATTCTTCTTCGTCTTTTTCCCCCCACATAAAGGGACACTGAGACTGAGAGCTTTTTTTTTTTAAACTCTCGCAGTCTTTCTTGATCTAGCATACAGTGTACTTGATTGAATTTGTGTTTTATAGCAGATTATATGATCTTAAAATTGACTTTGAAGTAAACATCAGGTTAGGTACTAGGGCTAGGAGATTCTCTTTGTGTACTTTTTGCCAAAGTTATTTGAAGTTCACAACAGTACACGATGAATTATAATTTCAGATCATGTACAACTTTTGACTTTTTAACCTAAATGAAGGTTTCTGAGAGGAGTGGAGTAGTAATAAAAGCACCTACAGAACAGATGAAAAAAAGTACATATTTATGAAACCTGGAATGTAGCAAGATAAAAAGAATTGGTAAATAAAAATTTACTTGTGTGCATGGTAACGTCATTGTACCTGATTGGATGTCTGTTATTATTATTATTCTGGCTTTATGCTTCCAAAACAAGTTTTTGCTAGTTTTTATTGTTTTACAAAGACATTCATTGAAGAAACATCTCATAGTGAGTAATTCATGAAGTGCAATGAACAATTCCTAAGAGTTTCAAGAAAAGTGTAAAGTTGATTTTTTTTTTTTTTTGCAACTAAATAAGGTGTTTAGGCTAGGTTTGTATACAAAATAATTTTGTATGCAATATTAAGATTTTTAAAAGCTATTATTTGGGTAAGCTTAACCAAACACAACTTGTAAACATGTTAAAATGGATAATTAATTATAGCTTCTTAGCATTTGAAGCTACTATTTAGACTTAAATACTATTTATTTTTTACTAGTATTTAGACTAAATACTAGTAATACTAAATACTAGTAAATACTAAATACTAGTAAAATACTAGTAAATACTAAATACTAAATTTACTAGTATTTAGACTAAATACTATTTAGTTCCTAACCCTTACTCTTTCTAGAATCTCAATAGAGATGTAAGACATTTCAGGGTGACATTTATGGAATGAAAATTGTGCCTATTTAGAGTTTTAAATATAAATGTATTTTTAAGAACTTATGCAGAACAGTGTACAAATCATGAGCGTATAGCTTGATGAATGTTCATAGTGAGCACACCTGTATAACCAGTATCCAGATCAAGGAAACATTGCTAATATTCATGTCTTCTCGTAGTCATTACCTCTCCCCACCTTCTCTCTAGGGGTAACTGCTATATGGTCCTTTGACACTTGAGAGTAACTTTTCCTGTTTTTGAACTTTATTTAAATGGAATCATGGTATATGTGCTCCTGTAGTTTGGCTTCCATTCCTTAAATGTATGTTCATGGGATATATCTATGTTGCTGAACATAGCAGTTTTTCATTATTATATGGGGAACTGCTATGAACATTCTTAATGTGCCATTGGTATATATGACACATTATCTAGACATGGAATTGCTGGGTAATAGCGTTCGTGTTTGTTCAGCGTCAGTTTTTCCAGAGCGGTTGTATCCATCAGCATTTATAGTTTCTTCACATTCCTGCCAAACTTTTTTGTAGTCTTTTTTATTTTAGGCATTCTGAGCAGAGGATCTACTTTTATCTTATTTATTTAATTTATTTTTTAGCGAAGTATACTTGGTACACAATGTTAGATTATTTTCAGGTGTACTACTTAGTGGTTCGACAAATCAATACGTTTTGATGTGCTCACCATAAGTGTTGCTACCATTTGTCACCGCACAATGCTATTTACCATTGACTATATTCCCTATGCTGTACCTTTTATCCCCGTGATTTATTTATTCCATAACTGGAAGCCTGTACCTCCCACTCTTCACTCATTTTGCCCATCTTCTCATCTGGCAACCATTAGTTTGTTCTCTGTATTTATGGGTCTGTTTCTGCTTTTTGTTTGTTTATTCATTTGTTTTGTTTTTTAGATTCCACATATAAGTGAAATCATATGGTATGATTTTCTGGTCTGACTTATTTCACTCCGCATAATACCCTCTAGGTCCATCCATGTTGTCGCAAATGGCAAGATCTCAGGGTCATTTAATTTTTGAAAATTCAGTGAAATATTCCTTACTTCTCTACTTCTGAAACTTTTATGATGTCTGATAGGTAGTTAATTACTGGGCATTGAGTTTGTTCTGCTGTGTTTCTGTTATAACTTTATAACTGACTTTGTAGTTCTGCAGAGTAGCTTGTTGAGGATTAAAATGGTATCTAAACATAGGTGTTCTTTTCAAACATATTCTTATTTCCTTTATAAAAATATTTATTTTAGAGAGATTTCTGAGATAAATGCCTTTAATTGGATTTCGTTAACTTTTCTAGTTTTTAAATTCTACTTTATTACACAAACCATTAAAGGGAAATCTTTGGCCAAATTATATGTATCAATCATAAGTGAGAAATGGTTGCTTTGTGTGTGTATATATATACACCCAAGAAAGAGAATCCCAAGCAGACTCCATTTTCAGGGCAGATCCTGATGTGGTACTTGAACTCACGAACCATCAGATCATGGCCTAAGCCGATGTTGGATGCTGAACCAAGTGAGCCACCCAGGCACCCCTGGGGGAAGATGTTTTTAAAAAAGAGTGTATATGTGGGTGTGTTTACTGTTTAAACATTCATTTATTACTATAGGTATTTCTGTTTATTTTGACACAAGATTCTCTTGCCAGGAGACTACTCTTAAAATGAATTTAACAACATTTATTAATAGTCTTCTAGTCTCATATTTATGATTATTTTTTATCCAGTTTTAGAATAGACTTTTTTTTTTTAAATAAGTCAGCTTTAATCTTATTTTTGTCTTAAAAGTTACATTTGCTGCCCTGTTTCTTTTGCTTTGACAGCTGTGTAAGCTTTAAAACACCCTCAGTTAAATGACTCTTCCTATGAAGATAATGAAGATAGACTGATTTTAAAAATATGTAATAAATATTTAACTGATATTCATTATTCTAGCCGCTCTACCAAATGTAGGCTTGGACATAGTCCCTTCCTTACTGCAAAATCTACATTATGTTATACAAATGCCAGTATTCATGGGTGAGGCTTGCTGATATTGTGTAGGCAAAGGCATAATTAAATTATTATAAAAAGTTAAATGATAATAAATAAAAGTTTTAAATAAAAGAAATGATTGTAGAAAGCTGAAAGTGTTAGTCAAGTTGCTTAGGTCAATAATGACCATAGACTATCTTTAATAATTTTAAGGTGTATATCTTGTTATCTCTGAGTCTTCTTAAATAACAAGTTGTTTTTAATTTAATCTAAATAAAAATTTAGGTTTTGTTTTATAATTTTGAGAAAGGAACATTGTCCCCAAATCATATGAAAAATACAGTGCATGATGGTTGTCACCACTGACCAGTCACAAAAGATCTGTAAAATAGAGATTCACAGGGAATATCTATGTCTCAGAAACCATCCCTGGTGGCTTTGAGGGATAGGTTACTGGAGGTCATGATTACTATTAGGAAATCCTAGACACATTGGTGTATATCTACTTAGATTTTTATTACTTAAGCTGTCTGGTTTTCAGCAAGAGTTCAACTTTGTAGTTAGCAAAATAGCTTTAAAAAATTATAAATTAGGTTTGTATCAATATGTAGTCTACATTTTGACCAGTAGTTTTTAGAGTAGGTTATTTTACAGCCATTTTTTGCTTAAAGATAGGTTGTTGAGAAAAATTACTTTTGAGTAGGTAACTTTCTTTGCCAATCTATTTTAAAGAATATGAAGTGAATAAGTAAACAATAGAGTGCAAAAGATTGTCTTACATTTTGTTTTAGTAATTTTTGTATAAAAAAGAGCCTCAAAATTTAATTAGAGTTAACAGTTGACTCTTAAGTGGAAAATATCCACTTAAGATACCTTCATCTTTTCTCAGCTTTTCTATATATTTGAAACTTTTCATAATGAAGAGTCAAAAAAGGTTTTAATTTAGGACAATAATGGAAAGCTTCCAGTAACTGCTTATCTTTATTGACCGCCACTGGGTAATAAACATCTGAGTGTCTTCTAGGTGTAAATCCTGTGGTGGATACAGAGATGCTTAAAGCATGGTTTCTTTCTTTTTTTCTTTCTTTTTCTTTTCTTTTTTTTTTTGGTTGGCATGGTTTCTTTAATAAGCTTCTTTGAGAAGCTTGTAATACTTCTAAGGTGAGAGGGCTTTAACACAAATGATGTCTTAACAGGGTGGGTAGTGAAGTAGCAGAAGGAGAACATAGAAGTTAGGTGATTGTCTGTTCTGAAGAAAACTTTTGATGTGCAGGCTAAGAGTTTTAGGAGATCAGTATGAGGTCTAAGTGTTAGTCACAACTTTGTTGAAACTGGTTAATTTCAATTGATTGGAACAAAGAGAAAATCGTTTTAATATAGTTGATAATCTATTCTGATCTATGTAGAAATCTTTTATCTGTGACCTAAAATAATAAATGAATGTCTGAGGGAGAGAATTTTGTGATGTGTCTTTTTCTCTTGAACTGTAGTGTTTTTCTTTAAGAGCAGTGAAATTGCAAGTGCTCAAAGAGCCATTTCATGTGATCTTTTTTTTAAGGACTCAAAACATCTTGAAAAAATAAACGCATTAAATTAGATGCATTTATAAAATGTGTTATAGCAGAATACTTACTAAAATAAGATTGTGCTCATGAATAGTGAGATAGGAACTTGAACTTCTAGGTCATTTGTTTTTAGTTCAAATTAATATTACATAATGCTCTTAGCTCTTTCTTGATAGTTCTGTGTCTTACAATGATCAAAAGCGCTAAGATTATGTATTTATATATGAGTGCTATTTAAATCTCTTAAATGATTGTTTTCCTGAAGGCATGTGTTATGTTTTACTGGGGTACTCTGTGTTTATTGGCTCTATTATTTCTGGGGAGACAGAATGTGGCCCTTAGAGTTAAAATGACTGGATTCAAATCTTGATGTTACCAATTGTGAGATCTTTAGATAGTACATTTATCTTCTCCACAGTGTCCTCGTCTGTGAAGTGAGGGTAATAACTTGTAGGATTATTGTGAAGAATGAAACAATTCCTTAAAAGTACATAAATGCTTTGGGAATGGGATGTTCAAGTTGAGTTACTAAATAGTCCCTTTATGTTATCACTTTTCAGAGACTTAATCCTCTAAAACCCTTAAGTTATTTGTATACATTTAAGGAGCCTCCGACCTAAAACAAGTTGTGTTTGAGAAATTGATTGGTTTGGGATTCTCCAGTGAATCTCTCTTAGGTAATTAGGTTGCCAGACTAACTTGTGAAAAACAGTAATTCTAATGTAGCAGAAATAATGAGGAGAGAACAATAAAATGGAAAGATACTGTCTTAGATATTGGTAGTTGAGCAGTAGTAGGTTTAATTAGAGGTTTTTGAAAGAGATTTCTATAGACATTGTGAAAGTCATTCAAAATCTTGCAAAGAATTTTGGAAAGCTAGCATTGATTCTTTGCTAATTTTGCTTCCAGCTTTATCATTTTTCTTTCCATTTAGGATGGAGATGTAGCATCACTGATGCATTACACAATGGTAATATATCAACTATTAATACAGCTATTTTTTGAGTGATTTGTTAAGACTGGGTAACTGGATGGGAACTATTTTTCCTTGGATAAGAGAGAAAATGAAAGGAAGAAGATAGTTAAGTACAATATGTGCTTTTAATATTGTAGATAATAAGCTATAAATGATCTCAAAGAGTCACAGTGGGTGAGCAGCTTCCTGTACTCGTCCCATTCATTCCCAGTTACTACCCATAAGATGGGGATAGGGTGGAAGGAGAGAGTGAATATAGGTTATTCATATGTAAAAGGTGCTTACAAAATGGGTTTTTGTGTAAATAAGCATTTCCTGACATATATAAGCTTTCTTTCAAAAAGTGATTCAAGATTTTATAGTATACTCCAGGGTTATCATTATGAATAGCATTTTGAATTTTTAAATTTTTTTTTTTCAACGTTTATTTATTTTTGGGACAGAGAGAGACAGAGCATGAACGGGGGAGGGGCAGAGAGAGAGGGAGACACAGAATCGGAAACAGGCTCCAGGCTCTGAGCCATCAGCCCAGAGCCCGACGCGGGGCTCGAACTCACGGACCGCGAGATCGTGACCTGGCTGAAGTCGGACGCTTAACCGACTGCGCCACCCAGGCGCCCCATTGAATTTTTAAACATTTTAGCTTTTATTTGAATTCTCGTTAAATAAGAGATTACTACATGGGATATAACCCATTACATGCACCTTTTGTGTACCAGAGTTCAAAGATGGAGATTTTCCTATGTTCTCCTTAGATGAGGGTTCTGGGTCTAATACTTTTAAAAACATTTAGATTTACTAATCATGAAGAAACCAACTTTTTGATATCAGGAAAGTATTACAGTGGTGCTATAATTTCTATGACATTAGATTTTAGTTATTTCCATTTGTAGACTATTGTGACACTCGGGTAAAGTTTTATTACTTCTATATACTCTTGATTAAAATTAGATACACTATTCTTTTATTAGGAAGTGGCTGTTTTTGTCTTTGATAAAAAGCTGATTGACAAATATCAAAAATTTGAAAAGGATCAAATCATCGATTCTCTAAAACGAGGAGTCCAACAGTTAACTCGATTACGACACCCTCGACTTCTTACTGTCCAGCATCCTTTAGAAGAGTCCAGGTAAATTTTTATAAAAACTTCCATAAAAGACTTGTTTTGAACAAATACTTAAAAATAATTTTATATTTAAATTCTGCCTGTACGGCATTCTTATAAACTGAGTGTTGAGCTCTTATGGATTTACTATTTCCCTAAAATTTACTTGTATATTATGTGTATTTACCTCTTTGGAATTTTCTTCACATTTGCCATCAATCTGCATTTGCTTACTTTGTGCTCAGCACTGCAGTAGTCAAAGTGGAAGATGCAGAAGGGTAGCATACAGTCCCTGCCTGAAAGTAGCTCTCCTTGCTAATGTGCTAGAATTTTTTGTATTCTTTGCATTTATTCCATATTTGCAGGCTATTTTTATGTATGTTTCAGGTACTCTTCTAGACATTTAACTTTCTGATTAACTTTTAACTTCTGATTAACGATTAACTTTCTGATATGCTCAGCATATCAGTAGCCCTCAGTTACTCTACCATTTATTTTTTTCAAGGATATCTTGGGAATTGTTGCTGAGAATGACAAGAATATGAAATTAATGTTGTGTAGTCTTAACTGGATCTTCAAGCTTATGGTGCTTTTAATGATACCCTAGCTATATAAACTTTTTCCACATTAGTCATAACCCCTAATTTCTTTCTTCCTTCCTTCCTACCTAGCAGACTGTATTCCTCTCTCTAAATTCAGAAGATCTTAACCAGATGGTTTGCCAGTTGTGTTCTGTGGACCCTGGAATTTTAAGGATGGGGAAGAACAGGCAGGCAGAGGAACAGAGCTGGCAGAGTTCCAGGCTTCCAGTCCACCTTCAGCCAGGACACTTTTGCTTTTATCTCTTCATATATATTGGATTTCTGTGTAGTTCTTACTTTGGAATCTTCAGTAATCCACTGTCACTGATCCCTCTCCCCTCAAGAGCAGAAGATACTTTCTTTCAACCCAAAAGAAAAAAACCTAATATTTACTGTGAAAACTGTACTAGATACTTTACATTTGTTTAACTTATCCGACTCTCAAAATTATGTGGAAGAACTGAGGATCAGAGACATTACTTAAGCCACATACTTATGACACCTTGATTCTTGAGCCCATATTTTTTCCCCACTGTACCATGGTGTACCTATCCAGATATATGCCCATATTTCTCTTATCACGATAATATTTTCATTGCTCTTCTTTTCATGAATAAACCCAGAAGAAAAGTGTAGTTGTTGACTCTTATGTAACATTTACTGTTGTGAACTCTGTATCCCAAAGTGGACTAAGTTTTGTTTGCCACGCTTGTCCTGAGCTTTCCTAACTGTGTGTTTTCCTCTAGAGTGTATTCTATCAGCCTGTACCATGTCACCTATTAGAATCCTGCCCATATTTGTTATTTTAACTTGTATCAGTGTGTCTTATAGTTCATCGTTACATTTTAAGTCTCTTGAGGGGAGAAGCTCTCTCTGTAGCTTCTTTTGTAGTGACTTAAATATTACAGAAGGGATTTGTGGGCAGTCATTAAGAGAGACAATTCAAAGGTTACTTTAAGGCATCTTCATTGTTAGGTTGTAAAACTGTAAAATTGATCGAAAGAGGACAACTTTAGGGTAGGAAAAAAATAACTTCCAGTTTTTAATGAATTAATGTAGAAATAACACTGGAGTTATCCAAAAGAAATGTGCTATATAGTAAAGTAATCCAGGTGAAAGCCCAGAGTTGGTGATGTATATTAAGGGGAACAGAGGCAGTAATTAAAACTATGAATAAAAGAATTTTTCAAGAGCATGAGTAGAAAGAGCAGAGTACTGAGGACAGAACTTAAAATGTAGAGGAGAAAAAAAGAGTGAGGGAAAGAAATGAGCCATCATTGTTACATAGCAGGAGAAAAACAGCACATCATGGGAGCTGAGGGAGCTGAGGGAGGGACTAGTGGTCCTAGTCACTGAGGACCACTGAGTAAAGGGAAAATAAGGACTGAGAAAAATTCATTACATTTGACTAGTGAGAGGTTATTATTGATAATCAGTAATTTCAGTAGCAGGAAGGCAGTTTGGAAGCTAGAAAATAGGTACAAAGGAGCCCAGTAGACAAGACATCATGTGAATAAAGTCCCATAAGAGGAATTCAAAGGAAATTTTAGAATGATGGTTTAATCACTAATATACTGAGGTAAAGTTTAGGGAAGTGAGGTCATTCATGTTAGATGAACTTTATGCTTTTTAAAGTAGAACGTGGATAATAGGTGAGTAATGGGGAAAGGGGGCCATGGAATAAGGAGCTAAATGAGAGAACTATAAAGGAATGTCCTTGAATGCTGAAAAATAAAAAGAGCAAGGTTGAAGTACATTATGTGACTTAGTACTGAATTTAAAGAGACTGGGGTTTTCTATTTCTTTCCTCTGCCTATGACATAAGGAAGAGAGTAGAAGAAACTTGTAATGATTATTAAAGGATTCATAACGGTTTTTTTCAGTAAAGGGTAATAAAGGGTGATGGTTTATTGTTGAGATAGTTGGGAGAAAGAAAGGAATCAATCGTGTATGGTCAGGACTCAATACTTTGAATTTGGTGAATAAAGATGCCAGTGAGCTAGATTTGGTGGAAGTAGTAAAGGGGTAGGAGATAATGTCTAGTAAGTAGCTGTGGCTGGGAGGTGGTTCTTGAGAAGAGGATATAGCCCTTCTCACATGTAACTGTAAAAATGATGATGGAAGTGAATATGCTTGAAAAAAATAAGGGGGCTTCAGCTGGAGGAATAATCATATGGGTGTTGATGTGACCAAGGATGATGTTGGGGTCAAGACAGAGAGGAAAAAAAAATAAGAGTAACTCAAATACATGAATCCTGGGAATTACAGAAAACTGTAGGAAAGACTTTAGCGTATTTGATTAGTTTTCCTCCAGTACAGTTCAGCAGATGAAAGCCTGGTGTCCACTGTGTTAATGAGCTTGATGAGGGAGTAAAGAACAAGATAGCATCTTTGTTGATGAGTGAGCAGGTGTAACTCTCTCCCTCACCCTAAGGAGCTTTGTGTTAATCTCTCATGTATATTGGGCTTCTGCATTCGCTTTTACTTGAAAAATGAGTTTAAGGTGAAAGAAAAGGTACACAGGAATAGGAGGAAGATGAAACAGCAAAGGGCATACTTGCCATTAAGCATTTACAATCCAGGTGCAGAAGTTTGGTTTAGCTTTGTTACCACACTACCTTGTAGTTCTCCATTGCCAGAGCCTAAGCCCAAGTCATAAAATGTTAGCACTTGAGTCTCAAACACTTGGTAACGATAATAGCAGTAGTAAAGACCTATTGAGTTTACATGCTAGTCACTGTGCTGTGTGCTTTACATTCAATATCTCCTTTGATCTTCGCTTAACCCTTCAAGGTGGTTTTTTATCAGCATTTTACGAATGGGCAAAGTGAGTCTCAGAGCTGAGGTGTCCAAGTCACGTAGTCAGGGGATAGGGATGCTAGGACTTGAAGTTGGGTATTTGTCCATCTTCAAAACCTGAGTTCTTTATAATTACTCCATAAAGCCTATTGAATGTTAATATCTAATGTTTTCTGAATTTCTAAATATTCTTATATATCAAGGAGCAGTAATTTAAAATTTAAAAAATTGTGACACCTTTTAAAATTATATATAAAGTAGGTAAAAGCAAAGCTGCTCTGATTGAAGTAGTTATAGAGGCCCCTGGAGCTGTTCTCTGTGCCCTTTTCTGACTCCTCTTGCTCCAGGGCGGTCTGTGGGAAACTTGCAGGTTCCTTTGAGCATATTCTGAAAATTGTGTATTATATTAATGTTGAAAATAAATCTAAGTCTACTTTCTTGTTGACCACTAATATTTTATGTACATTTGATTTTGATAATGTGGGAAAAAATGGTGATAAATAAATCTTTTTCTTTTTTAAAACAGGGATTGCTTGGCATTTTGTACAGAACCAGTTTTTGCCAGTTTAGCCAATGTTTTAGGTAACTGGGAAAATCTACCTTCCCCTGTATCTCCGGACATTAAGGATTATAACCTTTATGATGTAGAAACCAAATATGGTTTGCTTCAGGTATGTATTTTTGTTCATCATGTGAAAAGAGTTTTTTTCTTTCAAAATTGTTTTTTGGCTGTTTCAAACTTATCAGCAATATAAACTGCTTCAGGTAAACCTTTGGATCCTTTCAGTAATTTAAAACTATTTCTGTATTTTGTAGTTTTTCTACAGTTTGTTGTTAGGTTTAAATTATATTTTATTTTTTTACTTTATTTTAAAAAATTTTTTTATTTATTTTTGAGAGAGAGAGAGAGAGAGAGAGAGAGAGAGTGAGTAGGGGGAGGGCAGAGAGAGAGGGAGGCACAGAATCCGAAGCAGGCTCCAGACTCTGAGGTATTAGCACAGAGCCTGATGCGGGGCTTGAACTCACACACCCATGAGATCTTGACCTGAGCTGAAGTCAAATGCTTAACTGACTGAGCCACCCAGGTGTCCCAAATTATATTTTAAATTTATGAAACATAACATTGGTAACCTTTGTAGAAGGGCACTTACTGACTGGTGGTTGGGGTGGTTCCATTTTTATTTTTTTGAGTTCTAAACCTCGTTAATGCATTTCATAAACAAACTATTAAGTTGAAGTACTTAAGTATTTAATAAAAATTAAAAATTACATCTTTAAAGAAATTATTTAATAGGCATCAAGAGATATTGTTAGCCTTTTCTTATATGTCCACTTTTTCTAATTTTCCTTTCCCTGTTTACCAAAATGAAATATCTTCAACTCTATAGAGTAAATTTGTGCAGTAGAATTTTAGTTCCTTGGGGACAGAGATCATTTTATGATTTTTTAACAGATTTATTAAGTTATTAATTGGTATACAATAAACTTTACATATTAAAATACTATATGGTTTTATAAATTTGACATATATACCTGTGAAACCATCGCTGCAATAAAAATAATGCATATATTCATGACCCCCCAAAGTATTCTTATACCCACTGTAATCCTTCCCTCCTACTTCTTGCTATCTTTCTATCTCTTGTCCCAGGAAACCACTGACCTCCTTTCTGTCACTATGAATTGGTTTGTATTTTCTACAATTTTCTAACTGGAATCATTTTATTTATTTTTTTAATTTATTTTTTATTTTCTTTCTTTCCTTTTTTTATTTTTATTTTATTTTATTTTTTTTTTATTTATATATGAAATTTATTGTCAAATTGGTTTCCATACAACACCCAGTGCTCATCCCAAAAGGTGCCCTCCTCAATACCCATCACCCACCCTCTCCTCCCTCCCACCCCCCATCAACCCTCAGTTTGCTCTCAGTTCTCAACAGTCTCTTATGCTTTGGCTCTCTCCCACTCTAACCTCTTTTTTTTTTTTTTCCTTCCCCTCCCCCATGGGTTCCTGTTAAGTTTCTCAGGATCCACATAAGAGTGAAACCATATGGTATCTGTCTTTCTCTGTATGGCTTATTTCACTTAGCATCACACTCTCCAGTTCCATCCACGTTGCTACAAAAGGCCATATTTCATTTTTTCTCATTGCCACGTAGTATTCCATAGTGTATATAAACCACAATTTCTTTATCCATTCATCAGTTGATGGACATTTAGGCTCTTTCCATAATTTGGCTATTGTTGAGAGTGCTGCTATGAACATTGGGGTACAAGTGCCCCTATGCATCAGTACTCCTGTGTCCCTTGGATAAATTCCTAGCAGTGCTATTGCTGGGTCATAGGGTAGGTCTATTTTTAATTTTCTGAGGAACCTCCACACTGCTTTCCAGAGCGGCTGCACCAATTTGCATTCCCACCAACAGTGCAAGAGGGTTCCCGTTTCTCCACATCCTCTCCAGCATCTATAGTCTCCTGATTTGTTCATTTTGGCCACTCTGACTGGCGTGAGGTGATATCTGAGTGTGGTTTTGATTTGTATTTCCCTGATAAGGAGCGACGCTGAACATCTTTTCATGTGCCTGTTGGCCATCCGGATGTCTTCTTTAGAGAAGTGTCTATTCATGTTTTCTGCCCATTTCTTCACTGGGTTATTTGCTTTTCGGGTGTGGAGTTTGGTGAGCTCTTTATACATTTTGGATATTAGCCCTTTGTCCGATATGTCATTTGCAAATATCTTTTCCCATTCCGTTGGTTGCCTTTTAGTTTTGTTGGTTGTTTCCTTTGCTGTGCAGAAGCTTTTTATCTTCATAAGGTCCCAGTAATTCACTTTTGCTTTTAATTCCCTTGCCTTTGGAGATGTGTCGAGTAAGAGATTGCTACGGCTGAGGTCAGAGAGGTCTTTTCCTGCTTTCTCCTCTAGGGTTTTGATGGTTTCCTGTCTCACATTCAGGTCCTTTATCCATTTTGAGTTTATTTTTGTGAATGGTGTGAGAAAGTGGTCTAGTTTCAACCTTCTGCATGTTGCTGTCCAGTTCTCCCAGCACCATTTGTTAAAGAGACTGTCTTTTTTCCATTGGATGTTCTTTCCTGCTTTGTCAAAGATGAGTTGGCCATACGTTTGTGGGTCTAGTTCTGGGGTTTCTATTCTATTCCATTGGTCTATGTGTCTGTTTTTGTGCCATGGAATCATTTTATATGTACTCTTTTTTTTCTGCCTGGTTCTTTCACTTAATTCTTTTGAGATTCATCCATATAGTTGTGCATATCAATAATTTTTTATTGCTGAGTGGTAGTCCATTGTATGGATATACCATAGTTTGTTTATCCATTCATCAGTTGATGGTCATTTGGTTTGTTTCTGGTTTTGGTTATTACAAATATAGCTGCTGTGAATACTCATATACAAGTTTTTGTATATGTGCTTTAATATATACAAGTTTTTGTACTTATGCTTTAATTTCTCTTTGTTAAGTACCTAGAAATGGGATGGCTAGATCAAAGGGTATGTATACATTTTGGTTCTTTGGAAACTTCAAACTCTTCTAAAGTGGTAATACCATTTTACATTCCTTTTTTAATTTTTTAAATTTCTTTTAATTTTACATTCCTATTGCAGTGTATGAGAGTTCCATTTTTACCACATATTTGCCAGAAGTATGGTTTGTCTTTATGATTTTAGCCATTCTAATCAGTATGCAGTGGTATTTTGTTGGGGCTTTAATTTGCATTTCCCTGATGAATAATGATGTTGAACACCTTTTCATATACTTTGCCCTCTGAATATTTTTTGGTGAAATGTCTATTCAGCTCTTTTGCCCATTTTTTTTGAATGGGTTTTTATTATTGAGTTTTGAGGTTTCTTTATATATTATGGACACAAGTCTTTTGTCAGATACATGAGTTACAAATATTTTCTTCTAGTATCTAGTGTCTAGCTTACCTTGTTTGCTTAACAGTATATATTTTTTAATTGTGATAAAATACACATAATGTAAAATTTACTGTCCTACCATTTTCAAGTGTATAGTTCAGTTGGATTTAGTACATTCACATTGTTGTGCAAACATACCATCATCCATCCCCAGAACTCTTTCACCTTGGAAAACTGAAACTGGATCCATGCAACTGTAACTCCCCATCCCCCAACCCCACCACTCCTCAGCCCCTGGCAACCAGTCTACTTTCATTTTCTATGAATTTGACTACTTTAGGTACCTCATATAAGTGGAATCATGCATTATTATTTCTTTTTTGACCGGTTTATTTCTCTTACTATAATGTTCTCAAGGTTTATCTGTGTCATAGTGTGTATCAGAATTTCCTTCCTTTGTTAGGTTAAATAATCCATTGTATATATTTACGGAATTATATTTATTCATTCGTTTGTCTGTGGACACTTGGGTTGCTTCCATATCTTGGCTATTGTGAGTAATACTGCTGTGAACATGGGTGTAGAAGTTTCTCTTCAAGATCTTGCTTTCAAAGTTCTTTTGGGGATATACCCAGAAGTGGAATTGCTGGATCATATGGTAATTCTATTTTAATTTTTTGAGGAACTGGCATAATGTTTTCCATAGTGTTTTCCATAGCTATACCATTTTATATTTCTACCAGTAGTGCACAGGGTTCTAATTTTTCCATGTCCTCACTGACATTTGTTTTCTAGTTTTTGATAGTGGCCATCCTCATAGTAATGAGATGGTAGATTGTTGTGGTTTTGATTTGCATTTTCTTAGTGGTTAGTGAATTTAAGCATCTTTTCATGTGCTTATTATCCATTTGCATATTGTCTTTGGAGAAATGTCTATTCAAGTCTCTTGCCCATTTTTGAATTAGGTTGTTTGTTTTGTTGTTGAGTTGTAGGTGTTCATTGTATATTCCAGATATTAACCTCTTATCAGATATATGATTTGCAAATATTTTCTCCTATTCTGTGGATTGCCTTTTCACTCTTTTGATTTTGTCCTTTGATGCACAGAAGTTTTTTATTTTGATATATCCAATTTATTTTTTCTTTTGTTGCATTTGGTGTCATATTTAAGAAGTCATTGCCAAATCCAGTGTCATGAAGCTTTTCCCCTGTTTTTTCCTAAGAGTTTTATAGTTTTAGTCTTATGTTTAGGCCTTTGATTTATTTTGAGTTGATGTTTACATATGGTTTAAGGTAAGGGTACAACCTCATTGTTTTGACTATGGATATCCAATTTTCCCAGCACCCTTTGTTGAAACTTCCATCCTTTCCTCATTGAATGGTCTTTGTACCTTTCTCAAAAATCATTTGACTATATATGCCATTCTGTTCCATTGGTCTATATTTCTGTCTTTACGCCAATGCACACTGTTTTGATTACTGTAGCTTTGTAATAAGCATCTGAACTTTTTTTTCCCCAACCATAAAATGGTTCCAAAGATTAACTGAGATAATTATATAAAAATATTATCAAATTAATGCCTGAAATATACAATAAGCATGCATAGGGGTTTCTTTTTCCTTGTAAAGTTAGGAAAACTTTTCTAGACTGATAAACTTTGTATATTTTATAAATTAAATTTGAGGAATAAGCATTTTTTAAAATGCAAATCTTATATGAATTTCGTGGGTTCGAATGTGTTAGAACTAGAGAACATTCATCTGAGAAATATTAAGCCCCTAATTGCTTATTATACTAGTTACTCAGGGTAAATATCAGGCAGTTAGAGGTAGCACATCGCGTCTCAGGGAGTGATGAAAAATGAAACTGAAAAGATAGAAAAAGACCTTTTTGATGATGGGGAACACTGAAGGATTTTAAGCAGAGTAAATGACCTGGTCTGATAATCATTTTAGAACTATCATGCTAGAAGAGTAGAACTTGGGGGGTAGGGAAAATGTATGGGAAATAATTCTTACCCTATGGGGTTATTTTCAGAGTCAAATGTGTAAATTTGTAAGTACTTAGCATAGTGCTTGCCGGTAAAAATAGTTAATGATAGTTAAAAAGTCTTGGTCAAAAATCATAGGAAGTACTAGAGGTATAGAGTGATGTTATGCAGAATTAGAATAGGCCCAGTTGACTGACTACGGGGATGGGAATTGAGAATGGTATGGAATCTTATGATTTCCCACACTTATTAAGAGGTTAATATGCCATTATTTGAAGTAATTTACCATCTGGGACCTACATAGGTTCAGTGACTTGCTCAAAGTTGCAAGACTAGTAACTAATGAAGTGGGGACAGGAATTCAGCTATCTTCTAAAATAGTACTCTTTACATTCTTTACTGTTGACTTGTCTTCATGTTGAAACTGTAAGGGATTTTTTTTAGAGAATTTGTTTTTGTATTAAATCATTAAGCAATATTTATTGGATAGCTGTATGTGTGGCACAGTTCTGGATGCTGAAAGTATGGCAGTGAAAAAAAACAGACACAAATTCTTGCTTTTCAGAACTTACATTCTCATGGGGAAGAGAGACAATAAAATAAGAAATATATTAGATTATGATAAGTGCACATGGAGAAAAAAGGTGAAGAGGGAAGAGGATGATTTGGATGTGGAGGGAAAGATTGCACTTTTGGATGGAGGTAGTCAGGAAATCTATAACTGAAGAGGTGACATTTGAGTAAAGACCTGAAAAAAGCAAAGAAGCGAACCATATAGATATGTAGGGAAAGAATGGTCTGGGCAGAAAGAACAGCAAGTGCAAAGTCCCTGAGACAGAATCATGCATGACATGTTCAAGAGGTAGCGAAATACCTGGAGTGGTGGAGAGGAGTAAATAAGAAGATGAGTAGTAGGAGACAAGGTCATGGAGTTAATGAGTGGTTAAGTCCTGTTATCCCTGAGAGCCAGAGAAATACTTTGAATTTTACTCTGAGAGAAAGGAAAGGTCTTTGGAAGTCTTTGAGTAGGAAAGTGACTTGGCATGGTAGCTACTTATTGAGAATTAAACTATGTAGAAGAGTAAGAACAAAAACAAAGAGGTGAAGTAGGTGACTGTTATAGTAATACAGGCCAGAGATGATGATGGTCTAGAGTAGGGAAGGTGGTAAGACAGGATCAGATTCTAAATGTATTTTAGTAGTAAAGGTATTGGGCTTTGCAGATGGCTTTTTCGTATAAGAAAAATAGAGTAGTGCAGGATAACTCAAAAGTTTTTGAAAATGGAAAAATGAAGTGGCCATTAACTGATACAGAGAAAAGACTACAAGAGGAGAGAACCGAATTGTAGGGGAAGCTCAGTTTCAGATTCTTCTAAGATTGAAATGCTTGTAAAACATTCCAGGGAAAGAAATTGAGAAGGCAGTCAGATAATCAAGTCTGGACTTTAGAAAAGAGGGCCAGGCTGGAGAGAATTTGGGAACAGTCAACATATAGATGGTATTGAAAGGTATGAGAAAACTGAGAAAGAGTACATGGAAACTTCAGATGTCCAAACATTGAGTCCAGGAGGTTGGGGTACTGAGGAGGAACCAGCAGTGTAAACAGACTGAAAAGCAGCGGCCAGTGGAGTTGGGGAAAAACCTGGGGGAATGGTGTCTTGGAAGTCAGGGAGCCTTAGTTTGCCAAAATCTACTCCTGGAAACAGAAATCCAGTCTTCATTTTTGGTTAACAGATTCCATAGTAGTCTCAGGTACAGATATAAAAATTGCCTGATACTAATCCAGCCTGAGAATGAGTGAGCATCAATTAGTATTTGAAAACTAAGCACAATACTTTTCAGAAAAACCGAACTTCAATATGAAGTGTGAGTATGTAAAAATACTAAGAATTAGAATAAAATTGACAAAGGTGTCCCTTGATACTTACTATCTGTATCTTGGAAACCAAAGATTCCTTCATTTTTCAAATATAGGAACTTGATAAATTTGGATAGCAAAGTGCTTTTAAATTCTTTGCTTTTGCTTCTATGGAACTTTAATGAAGAGTGTATTCTGGTTTTATAAATGGGTTTTCCCACTAATGCTTTGATCGTTGTGGCAACTGAGAATATCTTCTCTTTTGCATTTATGATTAAATTAATGGTTACCTGCATGTAAAAAAAATCTATTGGGAGAAGCAGCAATTATGATTTTTAAGAGACATTTTATTATTGTACTTGAAAGGAATTTTATTTAATGTAAAAGTCTTTTTCCCCCTGTTTACAGGTTTCTGAAGGATTGTCATTTTTGCACAGCAGTGTGAAAATGGTTCATGGAAATATCACACCTGAAAATATAATTTTGAATAAAAGTGGAGCCTGGAAAATAATGGGGTTTGATTTTTGTGTATCATCATCCAATCCTTCTGAACAAGAGGTAATGAAGGTTTTAAATCTTCTAATTTTTTAAAAAGATTTTATTGTAAGCAATCTCTACACCCAACATGGGGCTCGAACTCACAACCCTGAGATCAAGAGTCACGTGCTCCACAGACTGAGCCAGCCAGGTGCCCCAGTCTTCTAATTTTTTTTAAAGCTATGGAAATTTGTGATGCATCTGGAATGGACTAGAGAATTTGCATGCCTGATAAATGTGTAGAAATAGGCTATGTGGTACAATGTATGTTTAAATGTTTAACTTTATAGAAATTTCTAGTGTTCATTTTACCTAAGAGTATTCTTCAGCTTGGTAATTCCATAGTAATGTTACTTGAGTAAAGGATGCTAGAGTTAAACAAATCTGAGAACTGTTGGGTTAAGTAGGCTTTTTTTTCCTTAGGATGTCAAATACACTAACATTGTGAATCTCTAGTAGTGTTTTCCTAATTTATTGGACTATAGAATCTTCTACAGGCAGCATGATAACAACAGTAGTGGTGATAATAATAGCTAACATTTATTGAAGCACTTTACTAAACACTTTTTATGTATTTTCTTAACCACAGTCGGTGAGATACAGGAATAATATAGATGACTAAGTTAGGCTCATAGAATAAAATAATCTGCCTAAATTTAGGCAGGTGGTTAAGTGGTAGAGCTAGGATTTGAACCCAGTCTCTCTGGTTCCAAAGCACCTGTTACTTAGTGATTATCGTATCTGCCTATTTATACTTAGGAAATACTGTAATATTTCAAGTTTTTAATATATGTAGTTGTTAAAGGGATCCTGATTTGACCTAAGATAGATTTGTAATTGAAGTAAACTCTTTTAAAGGAAGCAGAAAGAATTAGTATTGGTTGAATATACACTTTGGGTCAGACACTTTGTTAGGTTCATTTTTTCCCATGCATTTGTTTAATCTTACAACAACCTTTTGAACTTGTTAACTAAATCATGCAGCTAATTAGTGAAAGAACAAGGCTTCAAATGATAATCTGAGTCCAGAAAACTTGAAGCTTATGTATCATAGAATATAGGTTCTACCTTTTCATATTCATATTGCATCTTATAGTGATAATTTGTCTTCTGGAAGAGAGGTCCAATCATCTGAAAGTTGCAAGAGTTCTTATTCATATCTCTCAGTTTGTCTAGTGTCCTTTCCAGATTTGAGAATTTGGGAATTTTAGGATTAAAGGTGGTAGTGTTTTTACTTGCATGACTGAGTATGAATTTAAAATTAGGTTGCTACTGTTTGATAGTGGTTTGCCTTAATTTGAAATATTTAATCTTTGTAATCCCTTTTCTGTGTTCTTATAGCCTAAGTTTCCTTGTAAAGAATGGGACCCAAATCTACCATCATTGTGTCTTCCAAATCCTGAATATTTGGCTCCTGAATACATACTTTCTGTGAGCTGTGAAACAGCCAGTGATATGTACTCTCTAGGAACTGTCATGTATGCTGTATTTAACAAAGGGAAACCCATATTTGAAGTTAACAAGCAAGATATTTACAAGAGTTTTAGTAGGCAGTTGGACCAGGTAATTTGCCTTATATATAAATATTTGCTTGCATTAAAAATGTATTACATTTTTCTTTGATTTTTTTAAAATGTCCCCAGAAAATTCTGTAAAGTGAGACGAGTGTCTCATATTTTAAGTTTGCATAAAATCAACTTAACAAAAGTAATTCTATAAATAATGAGGATCAAAGTTTGTTACCACAACTTTAATTGTGGCATTTATTTACTAGAGTGAATACTGAAATATGATCTAAAATGATGGGCATTTTGTTTTTGTCATAGAAACAATTTCAGGTATTGAAGATAAGTGTTTTAATTATCTTGCCACAGTAGAATTAGCAGTTTGTTCAGTGTAAAATATATTTTTGAATAAACTTAAAAAAGGTTTTTTTTTGTTTTTTGTTTTTGCTTTAATTTTAATTTTTTTTTAAAACTTATATCCAAATTAGTTAGCATATAGTGCAACAGTGATTTCAGGAGTAGATTCCTTACTGCCCCTTACCCATTTAGCCCATTCCCCCTCCGACAACCCCTCCATAAACCCTCAGTTTATGAGTCTCTTCTATTTTGTCCCCCTCCCTGTTTTTATATTCTTTTTGTTTCCCTCCCCTTATGTTCATCTGTTTTGTTTCTTAAAGTCCTCATACAAGTGAAGTCATATGATTTTTGTCTTTCTCTGACTAATTTCACTTAGCATAATACCCGCCAGTTCCATCCACGTAGTTGCAAATGGCAAGATTTCATTCTTTTTGATTGCTGAGTAATACTCCATTGTATATATATATACCACATCTTCTTTATCCATTCATCCATTGATGGACATTTGGGCTCTTTCCATACCTTGGCTATTGTTGATAGTGCTGCTACAAACATGGGGGTACATGTGTCCCTTTGAAACAACACCCCTGTATCCCTTGGATAAATGCCTAGTAGTGCAATTGCTGGATTGTAGGGTAGTTCTGTTTTTAGTTTTTTTGAGGAAAAAAAGGTTTTTTAAATAGACTGTTGACTGTAAATGCATTATATTTTTGAATATTTTATATTCATATTTAATAGTATTACTCTTTTGAATAGTTGAGTCGTTTAGGATCTAGTTCACTTTCAAATATACCCGAGGAAGTCCGTGAACATGTAAAACTACTGTTAAATGTAACTCCGACTGTAAGACCAGATGCAGATCAAATGACCAAGGTGAGTACACATGAATTCCTGCCTTAGGTGGAAGAGAGACAAGGAGTTAAAAGTAGATTAAGTGCTTCTAAAGCAAGATTTAGCCAGAGGCCCCAGATAACATCTGTATTCTCAAATGTGTTAAATATGCAACTTCTTTTAATCTTTAAACAGTTAAATAATTTATGTGTATAATTGCTGTGATATAAAATAAGATTTCAGATAATTAGAATCCTAATAGTTATACAGGTGTAGAAATTCTGGGCACCCCAAGAATTCACGGCCTTCTAATTTACTCATATAAGCATGGATTTTAATAGTGCTCTTTATGCCTTCAAGATATTAAATCTTTCAGCATTTATTAGTTAGGTAAAGAAAATGTTACTGCCTAGGGAACTCACAGGTTCCGACTGAAAAATTTGAACCTGAAAAGAAATTTGGTTATTCCTTATTTTGATTTTTATAATTAGAACTATTAAGTGCTTTTTAGTATTTTGCTAAATGTTTCTAATTTTTTTTTTTACTATATTATGGCAGTTTCAGGTATGAGAAGTACTTTAATATTTACCAAAATAATTTTATTTCCCTATTTTTAGATTCCCTTCTTTGATGATGTTGGTGCAGTAACACTGCAGTATTTTGATACCTTATTCCAAAGAGATAATCTTCAGAAATCACAGTTTTTCAAAGGACTGCCAAAAGTTCTACCAAAACTGCCCAAGGTTTGTTGTTGATCAGTTTTTTCTTATAGACAGGATTTTCATTTACTATAATAACTCTTCCAGAGAAATAAATAGAACTTTTGCCTTAGGTACATAAATGACTATAGAAGGCTGCAGACTGAAGCTAAAAGTTTAGTGGACCTTTTTCGTGGGGTCCAAAAATCATCTAAAAAATTAGGTAAAAAAATTAGAAGAATACTACCTATGCAAAGGTAGTGCTTACACATTAAATGTCAGAAGACAGGTCCATAAGCTGTCATTGTGGAGATCATTGCTTCACCAGTAATTAAGCAATACTTCTGTATTGATACTACCCTCTCTAGTTCCTGTAACTCTCCTTCTCTGGCTTATTAAATCATGAGTGTAATATAGTCTAAAATATGTTGGTGAATGCCATAGAAGTCAATGGTTGGAAAACTGGTGATTCCTGCAAAAATATCTCCAGTGTTTAATCTGCCGATACTTTTTGATTATTCACTGTTTGTTTAGTTAGCCCTTTACTTAGATGCTATGGAGAATAAAGAGGAAACATAAATATTGTTCTTGCTCTCAAGGCTCTTTCAGTAAGTGTAGATAGAGTCAATATGCGTGAAACAACAATTAATAATACAGGACAGTTTTTAAATTGTGTGGTATGAATCGTAAGTAATGAAGAGGAGAAACAAATTAGTGAAGACTTAATGAAGGAAGGTTTCCTGAGGGAAATTATATGGTCATCTTCCCCAAAGGGATTGGACATTTTAGACTGTAACTTCAATATTAACACTAAAGACCCGAAGTCAAATTTAGTTTTATGAAAACATTTTTGCCTTTCAGCGTGTCATTGTGCAGAGAATTTTGCCTTGTTTGACTTCAGAATTTGTAAACCCTGATATGGTACCTTTTGTTTTGCCCAATGTTCTACTGATTGCTGAAGAATGCACCAAAGAAGAATATGTCAAATTAATTCTACCTGAACTTGGCCCTGTTTTTAAACAGCAGGAGCCAATCCAGGTATGTATGTAAATACTCTTTCCTATTTGTTTTCTGTTACTTAATGATATTAGTCAATGATGACTATCACTGAAAACAAAAGAAATGGATGTGTGACTTTTTAAAAATTGAGGTAAGTATAAGAGACTTTTTTTCCATTAGAACCTATTTTGCATATGTTTGAAGTGAACCATTCCTAAAATTATAATTAAACTTTGCAAGTAAATGTTGATAGCTCTCCGTAAGTTACCACCTCAGAAAATAAATTATATTGAGATCTGGCATACTGTTCTTATTGGACTTATTGAAAGTTATTGGTTTGTGAAAAGAAGTATTTCTTTTTCTTCTGTACTTTTAAATATTTGTTTTTGTTTTTCTTTTTGTTATTTAGGGTCTTTAGCTTGTAGATAGTTTATGCCAGTTGTTTCTCTTTATTTTATTGCTGATAAATAGTTTTACCAGGAGGAGGAAAATGCTTACAGCACCATGGAAATAATGTGTGTGTGTGTGTATTATAAGTTAAAATGTAATTAATTTCTGATGTTAGACTCTATTATAATATTTGTCAGATTCAAGGTAGTCTTGGATTTTTAAAAAAATTTTTTTAGGGGCGCCTGGGTGGCTCAGTGGGTAAGCGTCCAACTTCAGCTCAGGTCATGATCTCACAGTCTGTGAGTTCAAGCCCCGTGTTGGGCTTTGTACTGACAGTTCAGAGCTTGGAGCCTGTTTCAGATTCTGCATCTCCCTTTCTCTCTACCCCTCCCCCACTCATGCTATGTCTCTCTTTGTCTCTCAAAAATGAATAGATTTTAAAAAAAATTAAAAATTGTTTGTGAGAGAGAGACATCATGAGCTGGGGAGGGGCAGAGAGTGAGGGAGACACAGAATCCGAAGCAGCTCTAGGCTCTGAGCTGTCAGCACAGATCCCAATGCAGAGCTCGAACTCACGAACTGTGAAATCATGACCTGAGCCGAAGTCAGATGCTTCACCAACTGAGTCACCCAGGTGCCCCAAGGTAGTCTTGGATTTAAGAGCAGTAGGGTCACACACCTGGGTTTGAATCTGGTCTTCTTCATCCTTATTAGAAGGATGACATGGGCAAGTCATTAGACTCTTAAAACCTTAGTTTTGCTCATTTCTGAAACAAAAGGAGTTGTTGAGATTAAATGAAATTTCTAGACACATAGTAAATATTACTACATATTTCTGCCATTCCATGGCAGTAGCATATTAATAAACCATCAGCTGTGTGATTTAATGGTTTTATGAGAGGCTATTTGCGGTCCTTCCTTTAAAAGGAGGGGAACAGAAGGAAGTCTGTGGTGGTAAAGCAAGAGTTCCTATGGCTAAGAAAGGGCAGATGAGGGAACTGTAGGCTTTGAAGCAGAGTTCCCCAAATATGGTCAAGATGTTAGGAGTGAAAGTGGCGGAGCCACATGTTCACTCATGAAACACTCATGTAGTCTGCATGAATAGAAGGGGCCATTTTTTCCTTATAATCTAGGTATGTGTGGCAACTAGGTGAGAAAACATGATTGGAGACTATTGAAAATGTCTCTTTCATTTCCTGTACCTTTTTTTCTGTTCTTAAACTTAGAAGCCAAGTGAACTACTTCTTTGGGATATCTGACTTTGCTGTTCTCAGGCTTTCTTTTTTTTTTTTTTTTAAACCCATTGGATACCCAGATAGTGGTACTTACAGGTGAGTAATGTATTGCCGAAGATATGTGAGAGTTAGGAAATTAGTCTTCACTTAAATGTTTAAACTGAGAGCAAATGTTAAATATTGTGCTTCCAGAAATCTAAGAAATTTGATTTGTATGTTTTTGTCTTCCATGCCCTCAGGCTAGCAACATGGTGAGTGTCAAAATACAGAACTTACTTTTTTGAAGAGACTTTAAATTTTGTCATATGTGAAATCTTATAAAGATTCTGGGCTTTAATACATTGTTCCTTTTTTCTACACAGATTTTGTTAATTTTCCTACAAAAAATGGATTTGCTACTAACCAAAACTCCTCCTGATGAGATAAAGAACAGTGTCTTACCAATGGTTTATAGAGCACTAGAGGCTCCTTCCATTCAGATCCAGGTATAATATTTGATTTTTTTAAATAATGATTTGATTTAAAAAAAAAAAGAAAGAAGTACATTTTGGGTTTGAATTATAAAATCTTTTATATAAAGCTCAATAGTGATCTATATTATTAATCCATTGAATTGCATTATATACTGTTACTAAAATGTATCTGCTCCCAATTAATTTAAAGAATGTATTGACAAATATCTGTATTAACAAAGTAAAAGATTCATTGCTTTTATTTATCAAAAATGTTCTATTCTGAAAGATTTGATTTCTTATAGTTGAATCATTGTATATCTTCTTCCTAAATGAATAACTAACATAGGAATGAAATGTCAAAGATACATGTGACTTTTTTAATGAAAACATTAAGTAGGTATTCCCATATTCCTAATTTTTTTTCATGCTTGATAACTTACTTTTCTAAGTGTTCCTTCTATACTGAAGTTAATTTGTGTAGCAAGTAGATAGCAAACCAGACAGTAATTTAGTGTGACCATTCCTAATGCATTTATAGCTATTTCTTTGTGTCATAGAGGTTATGTTAAAACATCATGTACTTTGCCAAACTTAGTTCTTTAGCTTTGCTATTAAAATTTTGGTTCTATAGGGCTGTCTGGCAAAAAAATTTTGGATTGCTGTTAAAAGTATAATTTTTTCCTTTTTTTTTTTTTTTTTTTTACTTTGGAAAATAAGTACCTATGTTAACAACATCTCATTGCATAAATGGTTTTATATTTAAAGTTTCTTTGCCAGTATAGAAATTCTAGTAAAGAAAAACAGAATTTTAATTTTTAAAGGTTATTGACCAAAGCCTTTTTTTTCTAATGTGAACCTAATACCAGGGACACCTGGCTGGCTCAGTCAGTAGCAAATGCGACTCTTGATTTTGGGGTGTGAGTTCAAACTCCATGTTGGGTATGGAGATTACTTAAAAATAATGTGAACCTAATACCACGTGTATAAGGTCACTTTTTTGACTCATTTTAGTCTTTTTCTAGGTTTTTGCTTATTCAAAATTGTGAGGTTCATGTTACATTTTTTCCATATAACGTCATGCCTTCTTAAAGGTGAGGATATGCTGGTTTTGTCCAAATGACATGGGACAAAGAAGTACTTACTTTTACTTTTTAGGCCTTTCCAAAGGAGTTATGAATTATAGCTTCTTAAAACATTCCCACAGGCCCTGTGTAGCCAACCTGGTTTTATGTTCACTGAGATTAGGAAGGAGAGAAATGTTGAGTGATGTGAAAGCTAATTTTTCTTCATAAGGGGGTTCATTTGGCCAATACACATCAGCCAATAAGTATTTATTGAAATAGTTAATATTTAAATCAGATTGACCTGTGCAGCTTTGCTGAATTTTAGAAACCCACATTTCTTGTATCATTCAGTATGTCTTTAGTCACCAGTCCAATTAATTAGTATCATCATTGCTTGGTAAGAGTGTTAAAGTTAAAAGACTATCTGATCTTTGGGAGAATACTAGAATAAGAGCAAGAAACAAAAGTCTTTATTTAAATGTTTATTTATTTTGAGAGAGAGATAGAAAACGAATGGGGGAGGGGCAGAAAGCGAGGGAGACAGGATCCCAAGAAGCCTCCACACTATCAGCACAGAGTCCAGTGTGGGGCTCAAACTCTTAAACCATGAGATCATGACCTGAGCCGAGACCAAGAATTGGACACTTAACTGTCTGAGCCATCCAGGCACCCCAAGAAACAAAAGTCTTCAAGTTTCAAGCAAGTAGAAGGCTGGAAAGTAACTTTGGAAATTCATTTTTGGAGTGATTTTTTATTTAATTTTAATTTTTTTTTTTTTTTTTTTTTAGAGAGAGCACAAAGTGGGGAGAAGGGCAGAGGGAGAGAGAGAGAGAGAGAATCATAAACACAGGGAGAGAATCTCGACTCAGTGTGGAGCCCGACTTGGGGTTCCATTCCACAACCGTGGGACCATGACCTGAGCTGAGATCAAGAGTCAGATGCTCAACCAACTGAGCCTCCCAGGTGCCTCTGGAGTGATATTTTTAAAGTAAAGTTTGATTAGAAATATTTAGGAGGCTAAAGGGGGTTCAGAAATACATTTAGGAAAGTAGAAATTGATGTACAAAAATTAGGGTGCTTAGAGGCTTGAATAGAAATGTATATGTGAACCAAATAAAAAATTTTTACCTTTAAAATTAAACTTAGAAGCTATGCTTTTTCTCCTCTCCCCACCACCAGTTATAAAGTATAAACTAAGAGGCAGAAATTCCTGAGAATGAGCTAATGACTTCCTTGAGTTTTGGTTTGTTTCAGTCTCCTGTTTCTAGGTTCTTCATCGTATTTCCTTCTTGGAAAAGAGCTCTTCCCCCCCACTTTTAGCTAAATGATTTAGACATAATTTAAGATTTGCCTCTTTATAACCTATTGCTAGGTTATACAGCATAGTGCACATGTATGCTTGCTCTCATGAATTAAAGGCTGACCTTCCCTACAGAGGTCCCCTCTGGTAACAGGAGTACAGTATCTCATAAACTGCTCACTCTTGCCTATTCTTGCCCATCTTTGGAAAATGGGCATCCTTGAACGTAGCTTGTACTTCTTATCCTCAAGTTATGTCACACTTATTAATTACAATTCTGAGTGGATATAAACATGCAACTCTTAATAGCTGCTTTTTGGAAATTGGGAGTAAAGCAAATAAAATACTTGGCCATTATTTTGATAACAGGTTGTTAGTAGTTAATTTATTTCTGTCTGCTAATTACAAATGAATGTCTTTAAGTATACTGAATATTGTCTAACTCCTTCCCTGATACACAATTATGCCTCCATTTTCTTTAGTAATCCCTTCTTCTTTGCTTTGCTACAAGGAACATTCTGCTCTTATAAGGTATCTGAGATATATGTTCTTGAGCCAGTTAGTTCTCAAGCCATTTCTTGTTCTTTTCCTTATCTCATTTAGTCCCCCTTTTCCTCTGTTAGCCTCATTCAGAGTTCCCAGTTATAGTCATTTACATTGTGGCCAATATTAGTTAACAATGTTTTAAATAACTTTTTCCTGTTTCTATGAGTTATACTTGCTTAAGTTTTAGAATTTGGAAGTGCTTAAACATAAAGAAAATTAAAATCCTCTCTCAGAGATGCCCATAGTTAACATTTCCGTATCTATCCTTGAGTCTTTTTCCCTAAGCCTGTAGACAGACACATATGCATACATGTTTTAAAAACTGGGGTTACTGGGGCGCCTGGGTGGCTCAGTCGGTTGAGCGTCCGACTTCAGCTCAGGTCACGATCTCGCGGTCCGTGAGTTCGAGCCCCGCGTCGGGCTCTGGGCTGATGGCTCAGAGCCTGGAGCCTGCTTCTGATTCTGTGTCTCCCTCTCTCTCTGCTCTTCCCCCGTTCATGCTGTGTCTCTCTCTGTCTCAAAAATAAATAAACGTTAAAAAAAAAATTATAAAAACTGGGGTTACATAATAGTGTCTTATTGTATTTCTCCCCAATATTATAAAACAATCTTTTAAAATATGTTAAAGAAAATGTTTGTATTCTATTTTATGATAAGCTAAGAAATCCCTTATTTAAGAGGAATAGTTCTATGTTACTTTGTATTTAATCCTTATTGTGAAAGATAGCAAAACTTAGGTGTTCCCATTTTTAAATAATTAATGATGAATTGATGAATTGTGTTATCATGGAAAGAAATTAGGAATGAAGACCAAGGACTGTTGTTACCATAAGCTAGTTATATGACTTTGCATGATTTTGAGTAAGGTCCTTTTTAAATTTTTTAAAAAAGTTTTATTTATTTTGAGAGAGGGAGAGAGAGAGAGCATAAGCAGGGGAGGGGCAGACAGAGGGAGAGAGAGAATCCAAAGCAGGCTCTGCGCTGTCAGCAGCAGAGCCCGACGCAGGGCTCAAACTCACAAACCATGAGATCATGACCTGAGCTGAAACCAAGAGTTGGACTCTGAACCGACTGAACCACCCACGCGCCCCTTGAATAAGATCTTTTGAGTCTGTTTTCTCATCTGTAAAATTGAAAATTAGTGACAACTCTTTTTTCAACTAGTTGTTGAAAGGAACAAATGATAAAACATAAATAAAAGTTTATTTCAAACTGTGTGACAAATTAGCTATGTAAATGCAAAATGTTTTTAATATGTGGGAGAAAGGATGAAGAGAGTCTTTCTCTAAGATTGAATCAGTGTATTTTCTTAATAGGAACTCTGTTTAAACATCATTCCAACCTTTGCAAATCTTATAGACTACCCATCCATGAAAAATGCTTTGATACCAAGAATTAAAAATGCATGTCTACAGACATCTTCCCTTGCTGTAAGTAATTGCATATTATTTTTTGCTTTTCTTTCACTTCTCATTGTTTTAAATCATTTTCTTATTATTAAATAACCCTTTAAAAAATGTTTATTTATTTATTTTGAGAAAGGGAGATATAGTGAGCAGGGGAGGGGCAAAGAGAGAGAGAATCCCAAGCAGCCTCTGCACTGTCAGTGTATTAACTTCAATAAACTTCATTTATCTTTTTTTAAGTTTATCTTATTTATTTTGAGAGAGAGAGCATGCACATTCGCATGGGGGTAAGGGCAGAGAGAGAGGGAGAGAAGAAGAATTTCAAGCAGGCTCTGCACCGTCAGCATGAAGCCTGATGTGGGGCTCAAACTCAAGAACCATGAGATCATGACCGGAGCTGAAACCAAGAGTCGGATGCTCAACTGCCTGAGCCACCCAGGTGCCCCTAAATAACCCTTTTGTAATTTGTTCATATATTTCATCTTGGCTATAGGTAACCTATATAATATAGTACTATAGAAGTGAGCAATAAAAAAAAAAAAAAAGTGAGCAATAGCTTTAGTTTTCCCTGATACGTAATTTTGCACTATTACACCCCTGACCTTGCTCCTGTCCCCTAACTTTGAGTGCTTCACTAGAAAATCTGAGTAATTTTTCTTTCTTTCTTAATACTTTTCTGCTTTAATTCACAATTTATTTTGTTGGTAGTTTTGAAATAATCATGAGAGTTTAATTTGGTGTATAAGCCTATAATCATTCTGAATAGCTTCCTTTTGTAAACTGCCTTTATTTTTAGTAATCTATCTCTATATTTTTATATCCACCACTTACCTACTTTAAAAAAAAATAAGGGTACAATAAAACAATACATTAACAAGAATACAAGTGGCGGGAAATAGTTGTACTCAAAAATCTATGCCAAAGGCAGTTGATTCCTTTGAATACAGAATTTTTAACACTTATAGTTGTTGGTCAAGGAAGTAGAATAAATAACAGTTCTCATTATCTCATATTGAGAGGCATATGTATTCTCAACCTTTTCTCTAACGGTAGATCATAAGAATTTATCCCACAAATAATTCTTTTAAGAAGTAACATTGAATATTCTCTTCAAATGGCAGCTTTAGAAAAGAGGGAGAAATGTTCTTCATTCATCTGATCAGTTCTTTATATTGTTGTTTGATAATGGTCATTAAATTTGCATTTTGTAAATATAGTTCTTTGGAGATTGCATTCATCTTTATTAGGTGAAATGTGAATTTAAATAAATATAAGCATTTGTAGCTTAATGGAATGATAGGCAAAAGCAATTTAAATGACATGATTTTACCTTATTAAAATGACATGATTTACCTAATCCATTTTAGTTTATGGTTTTTTTTTGGTTCTAATGGCTCTGAGATAGAAAACAATACAAAACTAGGAAAAAGTATCATTGTTTACCAAAATGAACAAGTATGAAATCAGGTCAAGAAACCTGAGTTCTTTCTTATTCTGACTCTTCTACTAACCTTCCTGTGCCACTGGGCAAGTTACTATACCCCCCTGAGTGTTTTTCTTCATCAGTATTAAAAAGACTTGAAATCCAGTTCTTTTCTCTGAAATTTTCTAATTTTTTGGATTGAATTTTCAAAATAGATGAAGTAATATACAGCTTAAAATTCCATTTTCTTTTTTTTTCTCTTTTTTCCTTTTGATTTATTTATTTATTTAACATTTATTCATCTTTGAGAGATAGAGACAGAGCATGAGTAGGAGAGGAGCAGAGAGAAGGAGACACAGAATCTGAAGCAGGCTCCAGGCTCTGAGCTGTCAGCACAGAGCCCAATGCAGGACCCGAACTCACTGACTGCTACATCATGACCTGAGCCGAAGTTGGACGCTTAACTGACTGAGCCACCCAGGTGCCCCTAAAATTTCATTTTCAAAATGCCTTTTAAAAATCTGGGAGTACCTCGCTGGCTCAGTTGGTAGAGTATGGATGGGACTCTTGATCTTGGAGTTGTAAATTCGAGCCCCATATTGAGTATACAGATTAAAGCAAAATAAAAAAAAAAAGCTTAAAAAAGGAAAAAGAAAAATCATTTAAGTCACACTTTTATTTTATGGTAGCATACATTTATTTTAGCATACATTTTGTCAAAGTGCATGTTCTAGTTCATTTCCAAGTATGTATGAGGTGGGAAGCATAGGTACTTAAATGATCTGTATTAATGCCTGGGGATGTTTATATCTCATTTTAAGATGGCAACTGAGCCCTCAAATGCATGTTTACAAAGAATTATAATGAATGCATTTAGAGCAGTAACTCTGGAATGGATTTGCATTTTATATACCATGTATGGTGCTCCTGCCTTCAGAGGGGCAAATGTGAATTCCTGAATTGCATTCATGGACATAAGGTTAAAAGATTCTAACTGGGAAGTTCCTAAAATGTGAGTCATGAGTTAGAATTGTGGTTTAATACTGTTTAAATAAAGAAAAAATAAATTCTACACAGAGGTAGGTAAAATAAGAGCTCTATTTCTTCATGACTTACATGACTAATATTCTATATTAAAAATAAAAATAGGGGCGCCTGGGTGGCACAGTCGGTTAAGCATCCGACTTCAGCCAGGTCACGATCTCGCGGTCTGTGAGTTCGAGCCCCGCGTCAGGCTCTGGGCTGATGGCTCAGAGCCTGGAGCCTGTTTCCGATTCT